CCTTTTTTTGCTATTTTTCCCCTTCCTCTTCTCTTTTCTCTTATTACATAATCAACGATGATTCTACGATTACAGATCTACGTGTGTTTTGCAGATTATTCAGCTGCCTCGTTCAACGTGACGGTAAAAAAGAACCGCGTTTGCAAAGGATGCTTGTATGAAACATACCCCTATAAACGTGTTCGCAGATGGCCATGCTTCGTAAAATCTACAATGTACATATATAATTTTCTTCCTTATAATTGCCATATTATATTATATTTTCCCGAAATCAAATGATCAATTCGATTGAATTGACTAGATTCGCGAAAAGGAAGAGATGCGTTTACTGGAAATGATAAAGGTGACAATGATCCGATTAAGTTGACACGAACTAAGCGCAAGAGGGAACAGGAGCAAAAAGAAGAAGAAATGGTAGAAGAGAAAGAAAAGAATGCCAACAATGTCGCGGTTTATCTGCGCGTCCTTGGCTAATCTCTGTCCGTGAAAGATTACCCTATCACTGAGAGTTATGCTATGTCTCCAACACTTGGTATATGTAAGCGTTTCTATCAACTCTATCGCCTCTATCATTTCAAGGATCCTCCTCTCTCTATATCCTAGAAGTTGATTTTTCACTTTTCCTTTTTTCATCTCTTTTCCTCTCTTATTTTTTTTTTTCTTAATTCTTAATTATTTATACCTACATCTAACTCTTCTCAAAACTTTCTTCGCTTTTCATTTTCCATAATGTTTACTATTATATATATATATATATATATATATATATTTCATGCAACGTCAAAGTTTTTATACATATATTGAATTTTTCAACTCGTCTCGTTGCTTTGATGTTAAAAAATACGTTCGACTCGGGAGTTAAAAAAAAAAAAAAATATCATTGGCGATGGTCACTCGCGTTCGAGGACACTCCGATAACGCAATCGGTCGACGTACATCAAAATACTTATAGGTTCTCAATTTTCTATACATTAACTCTTGTCGAGTAATGTATAACATTTCGACCGATCGAAAAAGATTAGAGAAAAGAAGAGGGGGTTAAAAAAAAATAAAAAATTCAAAGAACACGCGATAATTAACTTTTAAGGAACAGAAGCTATGTACGAATATATATATTTCGAAGACATAACCTCTAATTATGAATTCGCAAAAATTTTAAGGCAAATACTTTACTATATTACACGACTCGTTTCTCGAGTCACGCATATAGGAGAGTCGCAAGAAAGAAAGTACAAGGAGTGGCAACAACGGTGGTGACGGTAACTGTGATGATGACTATGGTGGTGGCGGTTGCGGTGGTGGTAGTGGTGGTGGTGGCCGTCATAGCGGCGGCAGCGACGGCAGCGGAAAGCAAACGCGGACTAAGACCAACGAGGGAGGAGGAAACGAGGCTAAGCAGGACGATGCGCGTTACGTTGGGTCATGCTGCGAAGTGTTATCGCAGACCGGCGGTCGACCGATACCTTATCTGGAGTAGTTGCACACCGACAGTGGCTCCCAACTTACTCGCATAATAATTCTTTTTCGTACAAAGATCGATGCTAGAATATTAACTAATTATAATCGTATAGAATATATTCTGCTCTACAACGATGAATATCGATATATCTGGATATATCGGAAAAGAAAATCAGAAACAGTTGAAAACAGTTGAGGTGAAGCTAATTAATCTAATAGAAATGATAAAATCGAAAGAAGAAAGGGCAAACAGATTTCACGTTTAATCCGTCAGATGTCTCCAGTTAAAACCACGCCAAACATTCGATACGATGATATTCAATAAGAAGGATGTAAACGTTTCTTTATCGAAACATTGATTTATGATGATCGTACGATTTGATCGGACGATTCATCCACACAAAAAAGATCGAGACACACTAAACAACACATCTGGACTAGACTAATTGTAAGTTCGAAGAAGACTGCGCGGACTGGTAGGACAATGCTAAACGTTTCTTCGACGAACGCCGGTGTATCGCGAGATAACTCGTATCGTTGTGGCTGGTACACCGGCCGATAGAACACCACCCACTATTCCACCTAACGCAACCGAGATAGAAGTCAGCGCGCGTGTCGGATATCGCATCGACGTCCGATGCCGTTGTCGATGTTGATGTCTATCAATTATATCGTTATATCAATCGATGTGTATAACGAAATTGGTCGTGAGAAAAGTTAACTATGAATCGAATATTAAGAAATTGAATTGAAGATCGATTGATTATTTCGACTTTTCTTTTTTTTTTTTTGTAAAAATATATATATATATATATATTGTATATACATTTAAAATCAATAGAGAAAAATAAATATTCATAAAGTTTCTCCATCTAGTAACATTTTTATCTTCAAATTAATTGTACGTAATATACAAACGCTAATTCGTTCTTTCGACCAATAGTAATAGTTCAAATAACCTTGGATATGCCAAATATAAGCGTAAAAATCACCTCACGAATGTAACATTATGTTCACTGGAAACAGTGAAAAATAAACGAACAAGTCTATTTCAATTGGGCCGTTCGATACCAGGCCATATCGAAGCTGGAAGAGGTGGATAAGCAACAAGTGTGTGTAGTGAATTTAAGCGAGTCACTCGAGTTAGCTCGGAATATTTTGCGATCGTTCGCGAGTTACGATTTCTAACCAGTCGAACCGTTTCGAGAAACTCGAAAACAATAGGTAACCAAACGGATCGTAAATAACACGGTATGCGGTATGCAGCGTGAAGTATGGTGTATGGGGTATGAGGTATAGGGTATAGAGCAAGAGGTATAGGGTACAGGTTATGTTGCCACCACTAAGTCTTGAGCGAAAAAAGAAATGACTTTTAGATGGTAAACAAATTACACGCAAATCTCGATTTAGAATCGATCTAGAGTTGCAAACGAAAACTTGAATATTCTTCCTTTTATAGTTTCTGACATTTCTCACGATGCAAAATTAATATGTGCAATGTTAATGAATCCAATCGAATTTGAAAAAAAAACAACTCGTGAATGTTTGAAAAGATACAGTTTTCAAGGCGAAAGTTACAGTTAATCGTAGAGATGTTATCGTTATTCGATTTTATTTACATATAACATACGCCATGTATGAGAATTTCTCACGTTCATGCATCTTTTTCTATATTTATACAAATCTCCCATTGCGATTACAATTATGAAACATAAACGATAATATTAATTCGATCAGTTCAATAAATCTAACACGATAAATTCTAATCTAAATATCGTCTCGCTCTTCGAAAAGAATCTTTATCTTATTTGAAAGAATGATATTTCGCTTTGCCAATTTTAAAGGACTGCCAATTTAATTAAAGAGGAATTAAGGCGGAGCAACCCGAGAGAAAGGAATTCTTTTCAGCACCGTTACGGCGAACCATTCGCAGCGTTTCACTGTAGCGGCCATTTTCGAGCATCCATGATACTACGCATCCTCCTCCTTTATCTCCTCCTCTTCTTTCTCTCATCTCTACCTGTGCTAATGGTAACTCTTGTACTAGTATATGTGAAATGAGTATTCAGTTACTCTGTATAGAAACGGAATATAGATTTGAACAATGATTGCCAACCATGCAATCCCCTTTTACAATATTCATTTTCCTCTTTTCTTTGCCTTTATATGTTTGAATATTAAAACGATATAAATGATTGAATTAAGTAAATACTTTGGCAACAATTAAATTCTAAGAAAATGGATAAATTTTAACGGGTAACTTTTTAACGTTACCACGCTACTATGCTAATATCGTGCTATTGTTGCGTACGTTGACCCATGACGACGCAACACGTCCGTCGAATGGTAGAAAAACTTTGATAACGGGATTGGACTTGGACCTTGTTAACTATAATGTTGGAACTTTACGTTCACAGCTTTTATGTTTGAAAGTGCTATCTCTTGATCACGATTTTCGTAATTAATAACGCGCAAGCGTGAATTACAAAGTAAAATTCGATGAGTTTATCGATTAAGTTGAGAACGTCTTTCTAACGTCTTTTCTCTATATATGAAAGATTTGTATATTTTCGAATAATTTTTAATTTATTAGAAATTTATTTAATGTAAATAAAGAAAGAGAAATTAAAAAATCGAACGAATGTTAAGATGTTTCATGTGATCAACTTTCTGTTGCTACGATTTAATCTCGTTCACAGATATCAGGTATAAATATTTGAATTTATGAAAAAACTCGATTTTTATTGATATCTAACAAAATCAACATCAACGAAAGTTGTTACGACTTTTTCTTACGACATATTCCTTCGTAATAATATATATATATATAT